CCGCTTTGCTGTCTTGTGGTTTCTTGTCTCCAACCTACTAGCGATGGCCTCTCAACCTGCCTTCGATGGCCTCTAACCTAAGAGCTATGGCCTCCAACTTTTGCACCTTGTTTTACTCAGTTTTTTTTAACCTAGGCTGGCGTGTGGCACCGCATTCAGTTCCGTACACCATATCTCAAGTGTGTGTGCTGCGAACTCGTTCGACCACGCGGGAAAACAATCCAACAAACGTCCACAATATGTCGCAATCCAGAAAATCTAACAAATTCCTGTCTTGACATGTCCCGAAACCACCCTACCGCGTACTACTGCCTTCACCTTCCATGCTGCACCTGCCCACACTTACCAACACATAGCTGCGGGCACTGTCACACACTATCCAACACCCACATATCTTGACATCAAATAGCTGGTACGTCTGAGGACTGTTCAAATCTGTTAAATAAATAGGGAAAGTCAGCCTGTGCTTAGCAACTTGCAAGACTGTGAATCGCGTCAAGAGCACGGCAACATTATGGAGCCTTTGTTACATTTATGTCATGTCTGTACAGTGTGTGTGTGGCCTGGCCGACCCTCGAACATCTTCTTTGTCAGCACAGTAAGATTGTCTGTTAGCAGCAAGCAATGAGCACTTTGATTTCTCCGCCTTCACAACCAAGCCCTGCGGCCCACAGCCATTGGCTTTCATCCACTTATGTTGATCCTGCGACAGCAACAAACAGCAAGATGATACAGGTGGCGCTTGATCTAGCGATTCGACACAAATGTCCAGCTTTGGAACATGAACTTCTCCACTGGGACAAAGGCGATCAAAAGCAGCACCTGTCTCAAATATGCGGGTCTGAGTCTTTAGTCTGATGAGCCAATCCTAGGCCATGTCAAAAAAGTTGGACATTTAGAGTTGTTTGGTCTTGATTGACACCGCATATTTAAATCCAGAAGTTGGTCTTCCCACAGCATGGTGACAAACACAGCAATATCAGGCGCAGCCTTTGCCAGTCTTAGGCATGGCACCCAGGCCTCGGAAGAGCATGCTTCGTGCAAGGACGGCCAACAACCTCATCACCTAGCCGATTATGCAAGATAACAATGATATTATATATATAATTATATATATTATACTATCCCAGACGGTCAGTTAGAATTCAACATAAGGAATTAGGATTTAGTTAGAATATGAAAAAGTAATTCGGAGCTTCGATGCACTTAGAATTTACACGACTGCACTTAGAATTATCGAAGAGACAGGCAGAGCAAGAGCGATACATCTTTAGTTTCTCGATGTTTCTCTTTTAATGAATGAGGAGGTGTCAAAAATTAAATTAATAGCAGTGAGGCAGGAACAGTCTATATACAGCCTGCGAGGAAGGTGGTAGTGGAGAGATGACAACGGGCACAAGAGATGTCCACCGTAGCTGCTTGATGATGTTCCATCATGCCTATATTGTTTCTATCATGGTTTTCCTATCAATATTACCTTTAAAATTCTATATGTTTGCTATATTTTTACATGGTTTCTGGTCCCAAAATGAAACATTACAGTGAGGCAATAGCCATGGCCTGCAACCAACTAGCAATGGCCTGCAACCTACTAGCGATGGCCTCCAGGCTAATGGTGCTATGTGGTGTGGATTCAACGGTTCCGCCATATTCTAACTGCATCGTATTCTAAGTGCTAGTTTCTACCGGGTCCACCTCAGTGAATTGGAACCTAATTCATGTTTTTCATTTATTTTATATTCTAAGTGACTGTCCAATAATGTATATATAGTCTGGTTGTTCATACTCTGCATGTCAAAGAATTGGATCAGTGGAGCCTGTATAGAGCCACAATGACCGCATCACGAGGACCACAACAACATGATGGTTGTTTGTTCAGGCATCAGTTCACGAAAACACGATTTGGCACCACAAAAAAGTTTTCTTTTTGATTTTGGTACGTTCAAACATGTCATGCTGCATGATACATGAAAATGCAAATCGCACACTCCTCTCGAGTGTCAACATGATGAAATTGCAATTAGCCCTTCAAAAATAGTGGTTTGGAAGTGCGCTAAAGGTTTTGACGCAGGATTTTATGTTATAAAATCCTTTCGAGCTGATGTCATTTCCTTCTTTTTTTGTGTGCCAACGTTGGCAGCCAAAAGACCAAAATCAGGGGTTTGCACATTTATGGAGTCCTGCGTCAACGTGTTTTATGGAATCTTGGCACAGAGGTTGAAGAAGCTCATGCATAACAACATCCTGGCATATTAAATTCCTGGTTGAGGGCGTCCTTCAGAAGATTCATCGGCTCCGCGTATTTGATTGCCTACTTGAACTTGAACCTTGCTTTTTTAAGCCCTGCCCTCCCTCAAAGTGCCCTCAGCTGCAGCTGTCACAAAGGTCAGTCCTGTTGTTGTCCCGGCAAACCATTTTTCCCATCGCAGAATTCCGTCATATGACGTCATAGAAGGTTGGGGAAGGTATGAATCCACTTTCCTCAGAGCTTCCGGTTGGAGCCGCAAGTTCCGAGTTGGGTAGGGTCGTCATCTAGACGGGACACGAGCTAAAGGTCGAGTGCTTTTTACGATTCTTCTGAATCGGGCCATGTTGAAGTCGTTGAAGTCTATGTGTGTACGTCGCGTTGTTATGTTTATGTGTGAACATAAGAGCTAAGGTCCAAAGCGCCCAAAGCGAGTCAGTCAAATGAAACCACGAGGCCCACTCCCAGCACTCAACAGGACTGGCAGTTAAGCTTAGGGCTGGGAGTTGTTTCAAACAAGACCACATAGTTAAGCTTAGGCAGCCTCGATTAAAAAGATGTTTGCGTACTCTTCTGTATATGCTAGACCAACCAACATAATAAATTCCTTGGTTACACCTTACTCTATTGCTCCAGGAGAAGCAATGAAACTGTTATGAAATCCTGGTGAACCATTCCATCCTTCTGGGAAATCCCAATGATTTTTCTTTCTATGTCTCTTATTTGTTCATGCGTCAACATTCTAATTGAATGTCCTTTGTTTTTTGTGATTTTTTGGAATCCGGTGACTCAGGTTGGTTACAAGAAAAATCATAATAGTATACTGTCCCTGACGTGTAGGAAAAAAAAGGACTTCTAAGCCCTTATCAACAAAACAAAACTATGTTCTTGAACTTGCGGGGATGCAGAAATGTCACTGCCAACGTGGGAGATTTGATGTTACATTTAATGAGGCCCCCGCTCAAATTTAATACTACATTGATACATGAACAAACGCAGGTACAGAAATGCGACCACAACGTGGGAGGTTTGACGTTATACATTTATTGACCCCTCAAGTTACTTTTGATTTTGGGTCAGGGGGTCCCCCTTTTGATTTTTTATAGCGGTGTACAACGTGCAATCTTGTCAGTTGGACAAGGGTAGCAAAGCACAATGCCCAAGCGCGGCGCGGAACAAACGAGGTTTCCGATCTCAAGGCGAAGCGGACAAGATCTTCGCACTCTTTTCTCTATGCCATTTGTCAAGGCGTACGCGAATTCCACCACTTCGAAGGGGCGGTTAGGGCCGATAGGCCAGCAACATGAAACATACCATCGGTGGCATGAGTTGAAAGCTTGAAACTCACACCGGTGAAAGAGAGCAAAAAAGATGCTCAAGCAGCAGAAAACGTGAGCTCTTCAGCAAATCATCCAATCCTCATAGCTCAGGTGTCCCCGCTGGTGGCGCCAAGACTCCAGGTCTTGCCACAAGGTCGCGCCGCTCAGCCCATTCACCCGGTAAGTTCTGGGCGATGGATTGCAAAAAGCGCAAGCTCGTCTTCGATCAACTCGATGCGCTTGCTTCAAACCATGACAATCCGGGGAGCTGTGCCAAGCATGACCGAACGGTGTCGCAATGGCATTGCTGGAATGCTTGGTCGATGTTTTCAGCTTCCTCTTGTTCAATGGTCCATTGCCCTATCACCTCATTGCGATGTCTCTTGTTCTCGAGGTTGGTTTCAGCGGCCTTCACGAGGTCGTTCTCAAGCTGAGCTATGCGACGATCAAACTGAAGGTTCTGCTCATCCAGGGCTGCGTCGAAGTGACGCTTGTTGCGGCCTTCAGCCACTCGGAGTTGACCTTCAGGTCTTTAATCTGGCGCAGGTAGAAAAATCTTGAATCCACGATGGGAGATGGATTGGATTGGATGGATGGACAGATGGATGCTTGATAGGTAGGACGGACGGACGGATGGAGCAGAATGAGGATGGCGGTCATGACAATGAGAACCAAGAAGAACCATCCATCACAGCTGCCGACGGCATGTGGCCACCGGAGAACTCTGCAGCGACAGCTTTGAGCTGTGTAAAGTAGACCAGCGTTGCCATAGGTGATCTCATGGAAGTAGCGCTGGGTCTCGTACTGGCGTTCTTCTCAGCAGTGATCTCCTCAAGCGCCAGTTCTTCTTCAAGATCTGGTTCTTCCTGCACGCTTTCTAGGTTGTTGGTGTTGTTGAGTTGCGGGTTGTAGGTGACGAGGTCGTTGTTCGTGGGCTTCTTCTTTTCCTTGTTCTTTGAGTCGGCGAATTCCTGTCGACTTTCTTCTCTTTCCTCCTTGCTCTCCTTCTTGGCAGCGGTGTAGTGTGGGCCCCACGCCAACTTGATCCGGTGTCGCCTGATGCGATCGGCAAGGAGTCCTCGAGTCGAACTCTTGGTGAGCCCGTCTGCGAATTGTCGTCTCTCTGAGCTGATCCACTTAAGGCAGCCGCCGAGTTCATGCGCCTGTTGTTTCGCCACCTTATCTCCGGGTAGGTGCGCTTGTCAACAGATGAGCTGGCAGAGGTTGTGGTCTCTTTGCGCCATGCATCATACAAATCTTATGCATCTGTGATCATGGTGGGTCTCAGCAACGAAGTCTCTTGCAGTCGTTCACGAAGCGTAGGTGTCGGGTCAAAAATGACCGACCAAAAACGACACATGCATGTACTCTGCAGTGTCGCTGGCTCCACCTGCTGCTTGGGCTTCTGCGCTGCGGCTTGAACGAGCAACGCGAGGCGGCTCGTGTCGTAGCTGCGCCAGTCAACGACAGGTATGGCGTCTGCTGGGCAAAGGATTCCCCATGGCACCAGGTGGCCAAGTGGCCTCATCGAGAAGAGTGATCTTCTCGAGCAGCGTGAGAAACACCATCACCAGGCGGACTTTGCTAGGGTCAGCAACTGACTGGAAGGGCTCGTACTTCACTGTCACGTCGGCGTTCTCTTTCGCGAACTTCGACAAGGCATTTGCTTCCATGATGGCGCGAAGTTTGCCAGAACGCTGTTGTCCGCTGATCAAGCTGCAGCTTGCTTGAAGACGAGGTTGGGACTGAACTCCAGGCCATTGATGGCTTCCAAGTAGCGCGCGGAGCTGGCCCTTGTCAGGCTCTGTCATGGGGTCCTCCGGACCACGGCCTCGGTGTAGAGTCACTGGCTTGACAGTGTTGCTGAGAGAGAGTCCAAGCGGAAATCTTGTTCGTGAAGAACTCAACAGTACTCCATAGTGTCATCGTCTTCCTGCCAGCTTCTAAAGTCAAACACGTCTTTCGAGCGACGTTCAGCTGCAACATATGTAGGACAACTGCAGTCGCCTGCGCCAAGCGTGTCACCTTCACATGCAGTGCAATGAGGCCGCACGGAGCAGTTGCGCCGTCTTCTGGCGATGATGAAGTAAAAAGACACGGGTCAAGGTCACGAGCGATCCAGCCTTCTTGAGTGAGGCGACGTGTCGCTTCTTGCCACCAACGACGTGGTGCGTCCAGTTGCCCGTAAGCGGGTTTGACGTGGGCGCGGGATCTTGATCAGATTGACAATAGACGCTCAGTGGGCTTGATCTGAGGGGGTGAACTTCTTTGACCGAGGTCGAACGTGATGTCAATGAGGCAGCCACCCTTGACTTCCCAAAAGTCAGCCAACTTGCGCTTCAGCTCTACAATGAGTGGGTGACCGTGTTGAAGATCCAGCCCGAAGGAAGGGTTGGTCTGCATGGTCGAGGTTTTGCGTCTCGAAGGCCATTTCAGCAGCTTGTTCACGATGTCGTGCTCGTTGAGGTCCAAAGGATAATGTCTTTTGACGATCCAGCCGTAGACGCTGCTGCTCAAAGGTTTCTGGCCCTCCAGGGGGTCGATATGCTTCTGAGGTCACTGGGTCCAAATGCATTGGAGTCGGAGGCGCTGTTGGTGGTTCATGGTTCCAGAAGGCTCCGGTTGATCAGACATGTCGTCAAGCTCCGAAAGTTCTGGTACTGGAGGTAGTTCAGGAGCAACAGGTGGAGCAGCAATCGCTGGTCCAGTTGATGCCATTTCCGGAGGTTCATCAGCAGGAGCTGGAAAGGAAGGAGTGCCTGAGGCTTCAGCCAGGTCGTCATTTTCCAAAGTCTCTGCAAGGCGCCGCCGTTTGAGGGCCTTCGTCATCTCCTCCTCGTGTTCTTCCACGTCCAGGAGGTCCTGCTTGTTGGCTCTGTTGAGGTCCGCAAAACGAGCGACTCCTCTGGACTTCAACTGACTGCTGTTAAATAAAAAGGTTGCTGTAGCATCCTTGAGGTTCTCGACAGCAGTGTCCTCAATGGCAGTGAAGTCAGGTCGGACATGATGAGGTGCTGCTCGAATCAGTTGGGTCTTATGAGCGCGCAAACAACTTTGGCTGGGCCTCGCCAATGGATCTTGCAGAGTTCATGCTGTTGGGCGTCACGCCAATAGAAGCATCGTTGGCCTGCCATCAATCGCTGATTGACGCCAGAGTAGCGTCTCAGCAATGCATGTCTCAGTTTCTTGTCAGTCTCAGCTTGGAGGATGGCAGTCTTGGCCACATTGCGCCGGCGCAAGTGCTTCTCAAAGTCTCATGGCCATGTAGCGCACAGTGAATGTAGAAGTCCAGGTTGGGCTGGTTGATAGCCAAGCGCCCATTGCGTCGTTGAAAAGCCAACAACCGTCGGCTGAGCATTCAACCGAGGGAGGATGTAGGTAAAGGCTTGTCGGATGCCATTTTTTCCTTCAAGCTGGAGGTCGTGCGCGGAGGGTTATCGTTCAACTTGGCCAAGACGCTCATGAGCTTCTCCAGGAGCGACTTCGTGGGCTATGCTGTGTTCATCGGACAGGTGACCCTCATCAGTCACCATTCCGGGAGGGCCAAAGTGTGCGATCCAATGTCGCTCCACACCAGTGATGTAGTCGCTGGTTTGCTCGGACTGCGCCTGACATGCCATTTGATATTTGGTGGCGCTGTCCAGGATGGCCAAATTGGGCCATTTCTTCTTGTCAGTCAGTGCGGATCCAGAAGATGTCAGCCTGGAAGTGATCGGCCTTGTGAGCTGTAGCCGGCGCCGGCTGGTTGGGCTTCTTGTAGCGGGAATGAAGTAGATCAACTATAGGGCCTGAGCAGATGGGTGTCCCAGGTTCTCGAAGGGCGTTCTGTTTGCCCTCTCTGTGGAGATCAACGCTCTTGCCCATGTATTGGGAATGTTCACGAACTGCGAAGGTGCCCTCCCAGAGTTGAGGCTTCTCTGAACACGCCAAGGCTGTGGCCAACGTAGAGCAGAAGGCAGGTTCATAGTCCTCCATGAACGAAGTGCCGTGAGCGCCAAAAGCCTTTCACGCGACCTTCAAGACGGCAATGTTCAGAGATTGCTCATAATCTCAGCCACTGACCGTTTGGAGGTCAAGATGGTGGTATCTTTCTTGGCGGGCTTCTATTGGTCATCGGTGTCCATGCAAACGGCTCCATACTGACACTGATGATGTCGAGCTCGGTATCCAGGAAGGGACTGGAAGGCCGATGTTTCCCAAGAAAGCGCTGAGGTCGGTTGCTCGATGTGGCTGTGACGTCCAGAGTTCACCTGCCACTGCTTGAGGTACACACGCTTGCAGTGGAACTGTGAAGGTGCATGAGTGCGATGGCGCCATTCTCGAAGACCTCGAAGAATCTCTTTCCTCTGTTCCGAGGTCGCTGAGATGTTCTGCGTGCGGGACCATGGACCACAGCTGGGAGTTCCGCCACTTGCGAGAGCCTTGCGCGTCCAGTGTAGACTTCCCATAGAACGCGGGGTGGTGCGTGATGTTCTTCTCTGAGGACCTTGTCCACGGAGGCGTTCAGAGCTTGAGACTGCATCACAAGGGTCTTCCAGTGTTTCGTGGTAGGGAACGGTGTCCTCAGGCACGAGATCTTCGACCTGGTAGAGGCGCTCCTCCGTCAAGAAGTCTTCAAAGGAGCCGTGGTCACCAAAGCCGTTTATGAAGCTGCAAGTCGAAACTGGGCTCCCAACTCAGCTGCTCGGTGTCTAAGGTGGACGTGAGGCCCAGGAGGTATGCCTCATGGCGTTGCCGAACTTGATCTTCTGCTGGGCAAAGTCGATCGTCGTGTCCAAGGCCTTGATCACAGGGTGGCCGACCAGCATCGGCGTCTCGCCGGAGACAACGAAGCCTTGAATCAGGCCGCGCTGTCAGACGCGGACTTTGACGGTCCAGGCACTGATCGGTGGTCTCCACCAAAGTGGAATGCCCTCTGGCAGTGCTGGCAGTGGAACTTGGAGGTGTCATAGCCACCTTGCTCGGAAACTGCTTAGACATCGTCACCGACCACGATGGATTGAGAAGCGTGGCGTGAAACCCCATCCAAGGGCCGCTCCTACTTCGCAGGTGGTGAATCCACACCAGACTGGGATGACACTGGCCCGGTCTACGAGGAGGACGATGCCCACTACATGGACGAAGAAGAAACCTATGACGACACCTGGCAGGACTCCTTCGATGCTGATGCAGCATACTAACAGGAGGAGACCGACGACCTCGAGATTGAGTTTGACCCTGGTGAGTACGACGAGGCCTACGCCTCATATGTTGATGCTTGCAAGCGGTTCAATGACCTCAAGAAGTTGAGTCGAGGATTTCTCCCAGTTGCTGCACTTCACTACAAGACGCCCCACCCCATTCTCGAGCTCCACTCCTTCGCAAAGGGCATGGGCGTGGGAACAGGGAAGAAAGGCAAAAGTAAAGGAAAGGACAAGAGCACCTACCGCTATGACAAGGCTCCTGCCAAACAACCTGATCCCAAAGGACGAGGCCGCGCTGCTTTGGCACCAGCTTGCGTGCGCTGTGGATCGTCACAAGACCGCGCAGTGCACTCAGGTGAGCTGAACAGCTCCTACCTCTTCTGGCAGGCGCCAAGCAATTGAAAGTATGGCCATCCTGAACGATGAGAGCTCCATGATCACGCAGGCCATGAGAGGCCTGACTGTGCGATGTTGGACCCTGGCGCTTCATCGTTTTTGATGGGCTCTGGACCTTTGGTTTGCTACGCGCATCACCTCAACTGTCAAGCAGCTTGCTCGAAGTAGGCAGAGAAGTCTGCTGGCATCTCCACGTTGGAGTCATACTGAAAGGAACCATCTAAGATCTTCAAGATCTCCTGCAGGGCATTTGGGTCCTCGGCCTTGTCGAGGTTGAAGTCTTCACAAAGCTTCCAGGCCACGCCAGACCAGACAAACTGCCTAGCAGGTTCAGGATGGCCTCGCCCTGCCGCTTTGACAGGGTCATCTTCCTCTGGTAGATGGTGATCCTCGTCCGCCATTCACGTTAGGGACACTACCCTTCCGTTTGCCTCTGAAGTGAACCTGGAAGGTGTGGATGTTGTAGTGTAGAGCGGAGCGGCAGGAAGCGGCCCAAGGAGGAAACGCTCCGCTACCAATGTCACTTGGACAAGGGTAGCAAAGCACACTGAACAAGGTTTCCGATCTCAAGGCGAAGCGGACAAGATCTTCGCACTCTTTTCTCTATGCCATTGGTCAAGGCGTACGCGAATCCCACCACTTCGAAGGGGCGGTTAGGGCCGATAGGCCAGCAACATGAAACATACCATCGGTGGCATGAGTTGAAAGCTTGAAACTCACAAATCTATATATCTACTTATACATGTTGGACCTCCCCCGCCAAAACCAAGGTTAGTGGGATCTGAAAACAAGATCATGTTCCGGGCACCTCGGTTGACAAGGGATAAATGATGAATAAATGAGGAGCGTAACAAGAATGGATGGTGCCTAGACTAACCAGACACTCAAGTTCTACCGGCACTCAAGTCAGTAGGTGGATGGATGTGGGTACATAATGGTACATAGCGTGTTTGCCTGTCTTTCTCATGGCGGCATCTTTTGCATGTACTTGGATTCTGGACACCGGATCGTCACATTTTGGAACAGGAAATTTGGGTGTTGCTAAGCGAGCAAAGGCCTGGCTCATCTCAAAGCATACTCGAAGCTTGGACAGTTTCGACCCGCAGGCGACCCACATCCATGCGGTCAACATGGTCAACACACAAGACACATGAGAAATATATAGACAATAAATGACACAAGTAGTGGACACAAACAATCCTGAGGACAAATTCCCTGGATCCGGATCAACAACCTGCTCAGATTCCTTGCCTGTTCAGAAATACTGTAACGTGAACCAACCATTCAATGAGGACAACAGTAGTTGCAAAAGCAGAACATTTTCTGCCTCCAAGTAGTGCTCCCAGGTCAATGTCAGCTTGAGCTTCGCCTCGAATACCTCCCAATGTGGCAACTGTCTTTGACCTTTCATGAGCTTTTCTGCTTCCTTTGCTCTGTTTCCAAACTTTATCCTAGTCACAACTCCCATCTGTCAATTTGATGTACAACTGAGGCCCTGCCGAATATAGAGTCGGTAATGAAAAGTAGACAAGTAAGGACCAATAATCGCAAGTCATCTGCTTGGGGGGCCACATGCTGAATCAGTTAATAAGTTAAACCTATGATTTCTGGTCGTCCCAACAGCGGAATTGAAAAACCGTGTGCAAAGTAAACTGCAATGTGATTGACAAGTGACAGCAACGGAAAACATGTACGCCTTGGAAGCAAAGCAGGGCGAGCAATTTGACCACGCCCATGGCCGGAACGTGAGGCTGGTGTGGCTTCATTTTGATGCATTATTTACTGGCTTTTGCAACAGGTACTATATGTGTATTTTGAAGAAAGAAGTTTTTGACAAACTTGGCTCGCCTCTCTGAAACTTATATCGGTTGGCTCAAACATCTTCAATTGCACCATGTTATTCAAAAGACTCTTGTTCAATTCTTTATATAAATGATTATAAATGTTTGTGTGCGCGTGTGTGCATGCCGCAGCATGCAGATGTGTTTTGCTGCCTGACAACCTTGCTCAGTACATGCAAAACGAGTGTGTCTAAGTGCGCAAATTGAGATTCGGCAAGAGCTGATAAGAGCCGGACCAAGTATATCCCATCAAGCAAGGATGCACTTGCAGGCTCTGCATCGTTTGGAGCCATGACCTAGGATCAACATGGATCCGAGTCGCAAGGAATTAGGATCTCATTTGTTCACGCAAATCTCCTGAAAGTTTATCTGGTCTTGTCTGTCTCTACAAACATCAAATTGCCCTAGGCCCATGGAAGGCCCAAAAACATCGAACAATACCCACGTCCAAAACATTAAATTGAACTGGCCGGGAAACCAACGGCTTGGATATGTTGATCCTTTAAGCTCCTTTTAGTTGGGTTCCTTAGTTCCTTGAGGTGTTGCTTCGTTGGGTGAACTTACTATGCTAACCTGCTCCAAATGGCGAGCCTGTGTCCTGAAAACGACGTTCCTCGTTCCTCAGAGTAAACTGATACATTGATTTAATTTCATTGCACGTACTAAATCCCTGGCCTGACCCCCACAATCATTCCTGGGACTAAGAAGAGCGGGGCCACGGCTGAGTATGCTTTGAAGAACAATCCACTATAACCCACTAGAGTGGTGCACAGTCCTGCGTATCTCTCCTTCTCTAGGCTGGGATGTTGTTACTTTCATCGCATGCTTCAAGATGCTAGCTCGGAACGGAGTCATTGATCTGCCTCTCGCATAGTGTGCCAATGCTTCTTCAGCACGTAGATTGGGTTTCTCTTTAGTGAGCCCGGTTTTTTCTTCCGGACCTTCACCTTCCCTGGCAGTTGGCATCAGCACCGCACTCTGGTTTCAGAACTCTCTTATCAACCACGAAGAAAACTCGGAATGATTTATCCGTCTTAACGACACCACACTTCCAGATTTGTGATTAACATTGTCTAATTGGCTATGCGATTCATCCCACTTGTCAGTTTTGCTTTCTTTGTTCGGCCACGGCCTCAGTTTCTTGCTTTTGTGTTTTTTCGTGTTCCATTTTCTCGCTGTATGTTGTTTCCGCATTGGGGACCAACCAAGTTGTGCCTCAGTGTCAAGATTATGCAAGGAGGAAAGCATCCATTTAGGTCCCTTTTTAGTTTAATACCCTGTCCCCAGTTATCTACATAGTTTATCCCCCACACCTTTCACCATTTTATAGAAATAAATGGGGACCCAACCCCCCACGTGTATAAATTGAAAAGTCTACCTAACGTGAGTTTATATAAAATGAGTAGTCTGCAGGTCATTTTTCTATTGTTATGGTCTTCATTGAATTTCAATCACTTCTGAGGCTGCATGTTTTCTTATTTAGAAAGGCAAAATTTCTGGGCGCTATAGTTTTCTTGAGTCTTTGAAACTTGATTTATCTTGTTCCATGTCATTTCTCTGTTCTTTTTTTGCATCTCCGAAATGTGTACAATATTGGATCATTGTTTTGTCTCCACTTTTCTGCGCTGCTCAGGTGATTGTTCTTTTGTGGATTGGAAGCTATTCCAATCAGGGCCTGCAGGCTACCCAAGCGCAACTGCAGTTTCCCATCGCACCCCAGCTGGACTGCCACAAAGGCTCTCCCTGCCACAAAATGTTCACCCTGCCACAAAAAATGCTGCTGTGGGCCCTAGGAAAATTTGCACAACAAGTCTACAGGCAAACGTTTTTATGCAGTGGTGCGGGGGTCAAGGCATGCCATTTTAAAGAGAAAAGGTTTGCTTTCCAGATCCTGCCAGGTCTGCTGGGCTGGGCCCCAATGCTTTGAAGTTATTTTCTTGATCCAAAAGGCAGCCCACAAATAGATCTGTTTATATACAGTAGATACAAAATCATTGTTGGCAACTTTTTTGTAAACAAGTCCAAAGGCAAACCTTTCTATACAGCGGTGAGGGAGGGGGTCAAGGCAGGCCATTTCATAGAGATGAGGTGGGGCTGGGGGGCTGCCAGGCCCTACGGGGATCTGCCACGTCTGCTGGACTGGGCCTCAATGCTGTGAACTAAAGGCACACGCGCATGTAAAAGTATATGCATAAACACGCAGACTCAATGCTGGCCACTGGCAATGTTCAGCCTGCCATAAGGAATTCTGTTGTGGGCAGTAGAAATATTTCCACAACAGGTCTACAAGCAGACCTGTTTATACAGTGGCGAGAGGGTTAAGGCGTGCCATTTTATAGAGATGAGGTGTGGGGACTGCCAGGTTTTAGAGAAAATGCGGCCTATAGGCTTCCCAGAGCCTGCCAGGTCCCAAAGCTGTGAAGTTATTGATCCAAAGGGCAACCCACAATTAAAATTACTGAAGTACACCAAATGTGCTTCCCAACACTCCTGCTTCTCATTGAATACCGGGGGCTCCATCTTGCCATTTTGGCAGGACATCTTTGGACCGCGGTAATCGGTAATCCAGCGGAGCGCTCATCTTGATCAAATTAATGATCAAACGGCTACGGATCGGATGAGTGCAGTTCACATCAACTGACAAAAAGTCAAAAAACTTGTACACACACACACTGCAACAAGCCCGTTTTCTCTATTAAATGGGAGGGCCCACCCCTCCTATTCTCCTATCCCCTGGTATCTATAAGTCGTTTTATGGGAGGGTTGATCCCTCCCATTCTATAAGCCAGAAGGTGACCAGGATCATAGTTTTGCTTTCTGGCCGCATTGCCCGTCTCCTTCATCACTGAGCGCTTTGTTTAGACTGAAGACTCAAGACCTTCCGCACTGCCAGGGGCAGCCTATAGGAGGATTTTGGAGCTGAAGTGGTGTGTAGTGGCCTGACATATTATGGTGATGTGGCGTGTGATGGACTCATACTCGTACTCCTAGAATGCACTCGCCAATGCAATTGCAAGCACAAAGCAACGTCCCCCTGAAAGCCTGAGAGTGGGAACCCAAAGCAACCTGCGGAGGTATTTTAGTCACCAACCTCCAACCTCACTGCGTGAAACAGCAGTTATATATAGAACATATTATTAGAACCAAGCAAAGCCGCTCCCGTCCCGAGACTGTGCCCACTGTCCACTATGCATCGCTTGCGACTGCCTGCAACCTCCGACACGCAAGCCCATACTGCATTTTCATGCGCCCTCTTGTCTATTTTACACACGTTCCAGGCGCATGTTCACAGCACAACATGAACAACATGAACATACGCACAAAACTTCTTTGTCATTTTGGTTTCCCAACATGGAAGTTGCCTGCAAACATCCATTGTACATGATTGATGCTGAATATAAGAGAGTGTCCACAAAAGGGTTCATCAATTTTTGCTAATCGCCGACACCAATGTTATCCAATGAATCCGCATCATTAGGGCTCTTTGTCAAACAACTTGAGGAGGATCGAGGCACGCACATGGAAGTTTGGTGTTCCACTGAGGCCATCCCAGTCAGCTT